ATTCTTACTTTTCGCTAAAGATTTTCTGTTCCATCTGTTTTAGCCCATTTAACAATATCAAATGAATAGCTAAGCACGGAACATGTGTAGATATTTAATACCTTAAGCAAATTTTTACTGTTAAGATGTGAACTACGTAACTGTTTTACCCTTCTTGTGAACTCTAAAGTTAAATCGGTTTTCATTCTTCTTCTACAAGTTCCGCCTATATCGGAGATTGGAAATGATTGTCACAATTATAATTTTGTTACGCGCCTGAATAGTTCAATTGAACTGCATTTAAATCATTCAAGGAGATTGCGTAGCCACGAGATTTTAAGTCTTTCTACGCCTACTCTTCTTCTGCTTTTGATTTTATCCTGCATTAAATTCGTTAATAGAGTTCGTAGTTTTCGCCTCTCATGATGTACCCCAAGTATTCCAACTTCCTGATTTTTATACTCATTGTTTTCCTAGTTGTTCGAGAACTTGTGAATTTGTTTTGCGATCCATTCATGATATTTTCAGAATACGAGGGTAACACCACATTTCGAAAGCTTTCAAGTTTTTAATATTGGATTGTTTCTGTGTCCAGACCTCAGAGAAGCATTTAATATATATATATATATATATATATATATATATATATATATATATATATATATATATATCTCAAAGGCATTTATTCTTTCTTTTGTTTCAGAGTTCATTGTCAAACTCACATCCATGCAGCAATTCAGAGAAAAGATAAAATCTGATCATTCGGATTCTGAGCTCTAGACTAATGTCTCCTCTTGTAGAAAATGTTTTTATGTTCATGAGTGTTTTCCTAGCTTGTTCAATTCTTGATAGAACTTTTTTTGGGTTACATTGGCTGGTGATATTTGCTCCCAAATATTTTATGGAATTTACCTGTTTTATTATTTGTTCCTTGGCATACAAATGTACATTTATTGGCATCTTTGAAAGTACCCAATAGTATTTTAGTTTTGGAAAAATTTAGATTTAAACCGAACATTTCATTATCATCAGCGTACCTGATGTTGGCTATGCTGGTTCCGATAATCTTGATCCTACCTTGGACCTTATTAAATGAGGTCTGGACACAGAAACAATCCAATATTAAAAACTGATCTGAGCAGATATATTGACTGTTCATCCGCAGAAATCTTTCGTGCACCAGTTAATAAAGCTACAATTGCCATTTGGATAACCAACCTTCGAAAGGAGACGGCGTAATAAGAGTCGAAATGGTAATAATAATGCTTGATGAATTTAAGGGTATTTTACGTTGCACTGTTACAAAATACAGTTATTTACAAAAGTATTTAACTAAAACTAAACTATTTACTTTTCTGCTATGTGAACGAAAGTTTACGTAGAGCGCGTGTATTTTTACACAAATCTTGAGAGGTCGAGATATACCTATTGTCAGGTACGAGAACAGAGAGCGGAGTCTGTGAAAGCTAGTATATACCTACTGTCAGGAAGGCGACCTAAAACGAAGTCTAAGAGAGGAGTCTGGTATGTAACAACTGTTCTTCACGAGGACCGGGAGCGAAGTCCTAGAGAGCAGTCTGGTATGTAACTACTGTCTGGTATGTAAGACTTTAACACTAGTTATCATCATTTTGAGATCCGGCTCAGTGTAATGAAGACCGCATCACTAACTACGGCTCTTCGCAAGAGGAGCAATTATGTATTTTCAAACAGCTGTTCGTCTTAACTTTTAAAAAATTAATGAAGGGTTTGTCTCAACAACCCATCTCCATTTACACCGAATGCAACAAATAAGTATGTGCAAGCTTTAAATTTTTCTTTAAGCATATATATATATATATATATATATATATATATATATATATATATATATATATATATATATATATATATGCGTTACTTAATGTGCGTATACGCAGGATGCCTTAATATTGTTACCAAATCATCGGCATTGGCTCTACAACCCATAGTTGGTCTTGGCATGTGCTAGGATCAGCTTCCATTCCTTTCTATCCTTCGCCTTGGTTTTCCAATTTCGTACTTTTAACACTCGTAAGTCGTCTTAAATCTGGTCTTTAAATGGAGCTCTGGACCTACCTTTTCTCCTGTCTTTGGTAATAAATTTGTTTCGACTAGTGCGTACGGCACTCAGTTGGTTGTTGGAGAGCTGGGTCGTGGATAAGTTGAAGATATGGGGGTTGGGTTGGGGCAACTACAAAAAAAAGAAATAAAGGGGTACTTATACAAATCTCTTGGGACAAACAGAATGAAAATAAACCGGAAACACCTCAAGAAATTTAATATAGGGCGCCACTTGAGGTGCCTAATTATACCTATTACAACCACTAGTTGTAACTAGGTAAATAACTATAGAACATCAAAAATATAGAAAAAAACAAACAGTTATCAAAAATACAGATTATAAAAGAAACATATTATATAACATAATACAAAATAACAAAAACTTACATGTTCTTTGTTTACATAAAAGATTGCTACAAAAATTTTAAATGGTTTCTAGGTCATATTATGGCCAATTTAGAGTATTAAAATTTTATGGATATCCTTTTTATAAAAATATTATTGAATTTAACCTCTACGACAAAAATAATATAAAACTTTAATTATTACAAATAATATAAAACTTTAATTATTACAAATTCTTTTATTTTAATGAAAGCAATTATTAAAAATGTCTTTATAACTTGAAAAAAAAATTAATATATTAAAAGTTACCTTATTTCTCACATGTTTCACTTAACTTTGAAAAGGAAAAACTTGCTACATCTCTGGGAAGCTACTTGGGCAGATTTTCAAAATGGAAATCAGAAAACTATTTCCGTAATTAGGCAGGAACGATCTAAACAGGAATTTGGTGGAGGAATCAAGCTGACTTACGGGGACATTCTATACCATACTTCTCAAAAATTGCCAGTTTCCATTAAAATCCAATGACCACTCTGACAAAGCTGCTTATGCAAAGCAAAGAGTATCATCACTAAAAAATTGAATCGACTCTTCGATTCACAATTGCCCCAGCATTATATATCCGCAAAAGCGTCTACCACCGTTTCAAATCTGTTCTTCCACTTACATTGTAATCCGTCTGCCCTGCTTGGAACTTAAATGTCGACATTTAAGTTCATCCTCATCCGCGCTACATTTTACAAATTCCAAGCCAAATAATTTTCCTTCCGTCTTACAGCTAGCCTGTCGTCCACAAACTTAAAACAAACAATCTTCCCCTTGTTATTCGTTCCTAACGATGAAAGACAAATAAAACCTCTTTTTTTATAGGGGGCATCATAAATTATATTCCCTTTATATACAAAAAAAAACTTGTCGAAATAGATATAACATAATACAAATTAACAAAATAGCACGTATTTTTAAACCAGAGTTCTACCTGACTTTGTAACAAAAGGTTATGGGATTTGAAAGTACACATAGACAAAAAATATATCCAGCGTTATTTACGCATTTAAGGTTTTCGTAAAAGACAAACACAGATTTTATGGCAATCTTTATGCGTACTGATGAGATAAACGAACAGGGACGTATTATAAAATTTAAAACGCTACAATGTGAACTCTCTTACACATTTGAAAGTAAACATATACTTTCGTTATAGAATCGTTAGATCTTCGGGTTTTACTACTTGCTTATTATTTGTCACCTTCATATACTTAGTTTTAGTGGTATTAACGTATAGCCCCATTCTTTTTGCTGTTGCTTCCAATGTCGTAAACGATTTGATCAGGTCCGCTTTTCTTCTTGCTATGATGTCGATGTCATCCGCATACGCTAGTATTTGTACAATCCTCTTAATAATGGGTCCTCTTGTTGTCATTCCAGATTCTCTAATAGCTTTCTCTAGGACAATGTTGAATAGAGGGCACGATAGAATATCTCCCCGTCGAAGTCCTTTTGTGTCTGGAAAATTCTTGATACTCCGTACTGCGCTCTAACCTTACACTCAACTGTTGAGAGGGCTGCTTTCACCAATTTCACTAAGTGTGTTGGGATTGGGATATTGAATTCTACCATGGCCTTGTATAGTGCGTTTCTGTCTACACTGTCATAGGCACATCTAAAATCCACAAACAAATGGTGAGTATTAATTCCATACTCATATGTTTTTTCTAAAGCTTGTCTTAGAAGGAATATTTGATGGATAGTTGATTTTTCTTTGCGAAACCCACATTGGTATTTGCCTATAATGTTTTCACAATATCTATTATAATTGATTGTAAAGAATGTAGGCCAATATTTTGTAGGTCATGTTTAAGAGGGTAATTCCTCTGTAGTTATCAAAATTTGTTTGGTCTCCTTTCTTGTAAATAAGTACAATTATACCTAAATTCCAGTCTTCAGGTAGTTTTACTTGCTTCCAAATCAGTTCTACTAGTCTACTTATACAACAGGTCAGATATTTTGCGCCATATTTTAAAAGCTCAAAAGGAATACCATTTGCTCCAGCTGCTTCGTTTTCTTTAAATTTTTGTATTGTTCTAGTCTAGTGTATGTAGTCGTGATCACTAATGATCTCTCCTGTTCTGTTTCTAACTATTGATAATCTAGGTTTGAATCTCATACGTGATTGGTTGCTTGCCAAACTTTAAAATTGCTTTTTAAGGAGGCGTCTTCTTTCAAAGGTTTGCGATCATCATGATTTTTGATATGATCTTTAAACTCTCTTTACTGATGCTCTAAAAAGCTGATTATACGAGCAATTAAACCACTCTCTGAGAATGCGCAGCATGACATTCGTCTCCTTCCAATGCTATGCTTGCCAATGCACACATACTTAATCACACAAATTCTTAAACGTTAAAGCTTAGTTATATGAGCTACATTCTTAAAAGAAATGCCAGTAACAACATTGGTAATGTCACGCATTTCATTCTATAGTTATTAGAAAATTGTTCCCGTATTGTAATTATATTATAAACTTTATTTTATAAAATTTATTTTGGTATTTTATAACATATATTCGGTTCAATAAGTATTTTTGTTTTCAGAAAAAATGAAAAAAGAACAGGAAGAAAAAGAACAAGCAGACGAGGTAGAGTTAAAGACTGTAAACGAGACTGGTACTAAAGCCTGTACATCAACTACTGCAACATACATTACTGGAACAAACATTACAAATATCAATCAAAATTACGGTTCTTACTCAGTCAATAACGATATTCTAGTTCCAACTCAAATTAATAATCAATATTCAAATATTCTTACACCAATTCCCTTACAGAGTTACGGAACTCAGCAATACACTAATCCAAATGATAAAAGTCCTTTCAATTTATCAGATTTCGAAAATGATACGTCGAGTCCTTTTGACAACATGGAGTTAAAATCTATAAATGATATGGAAGAACTAGCCCAGGTTTTAAACAGAGATAAAAATAGTAGTTATAAGATTAGTTCTAATTCTCACACATACTCAAACTTTTCCAGTGTTAGGCCCGCTGCGCAAGTGCAGCCGACTTTTTCTAATTATATGAGTAATCAGTATTCTTACAACATTCCTAGTACAGCATCTTATGTACAGCCAGTTGTTACTGACTATTCAAGAACAAATGGTTACTACTATGATAATAGCCCATTCCAAAATCAGTACGTTTACAAACCTAGTCCTCCTGAATACTTCACTACTCCTTCATCTCAACCATCTGCCACTGCGTTAGAAAGTAATAAGCCCAACTGCAAAAGTGTTCCTGATATTATGAAAGCCTTAGAAACTGAAATAGAAAACACTCATATTACTGCTTCAGTCCCCAAAGAGTCATACATTAGAAATGAATTAATAACACAGACTACAAGGCCTAAGAGTACAGACGCGGTTTATCCGAGGCCGAAGATTAAAAAAGACGATTTGGATGATCCGTTACATTTATTACCTAAAAATCAGCAGGATTTCTGTCGATCTATAAGTTCAATGGGATTTCCTTTGTCAAGGGTAGTTAGGACCTGCCAAATTCTTGGAGACGATCAAAAAAAGGTAAGTCTTGAGAAAATAACAATCTATTTAACAGAAGTAAGCGCAGCAATTAATTTATTCTTATTATTTGGTTACCCTATTCTTTCCGGAGGTTGGAAATCATCAATGGAATACGGACTTTGTAATGATAGTATATTGTGCTTTGATCGTTCATAGCACTATGGTCTGTCTTGTTTTATAAAAAAATGCTGTTTGATTATAGCCGGAATACAGTTTGGCGTAAAGTAACATGGTTCGCTGCAACAGATTTGCACTCTTTACTGACTTCTAGTGATATTCGGTCAATTGCGCGGTCAACTTTTAATAGAATGAGAAAACTTTTTTGTAATCGCGATATCAATATATCGCTCCGGATAAGAATGCTTCGATGTTGAAGCTTGGACACTTAAAAAATCCAACATTAAAAACCTAGAAGCATTCGAAATGTGGTGTTACCGACGCATTTTGAAAATATCATGGATGGATCGCAAAACAAACGAACAAGTTCTCGAACAACTAGGAAAACAATGCGAAGTTTTAAATTCCATAAAGATCAGGAAATTGGAATACTTGGGGCACATCATGAGAGGTGAAAAGTACGAACTACTAAGGAATATAATGCAGGGTAAAATCAAAGGTAGAAGAAGCGTAGGAAGACGTAAAATCTCGTGGCTACGCAATCTCCGTGAGTGGTTTGGATGCAGTTCAATTGAACTATTCAGGCGAGTAACCAATAAAATTATAATTGCCAGAATGATTTCCAAGCGCCGATAGGAGTGGAACTTGAAGAAGAAGAGTGATATTCTCTTCATGATGTTTGAATCACAGCAACCTGAGTCGACGCTGGTGATTTAATAGCTATCACAAAAACAGGATTATCAAGTCAGTTGAAGGGAAAACCTCTTTCATTAACGATGATTAAAACAGTCACAATTGTTAGACGTAACTTGCTGTATTTCGGTTCTTTTTAATGGTATTGAAATTGAAAATCATGGTTATTCAGTCAGTTGTAACATTTATTCTTTAAATTTATATAAGGTTGAATGCTGAGAGAATTTCTCTCCTGATGCCAACCATAATGGAGCATCTCAGTGCTGTTACTCTCAGTTCTAATCTAAGATCTTTGTTGCAGAGAATTGTTTTCATTTTTACAAACGCATTTCTTGTTATTTCTATCCTAGCTCTTATTTTGGTTGTTTGATCATTATTGTCCGAAATCCACGTTCCTAGGTATTTGTATTTATCAACCCTTTCTATCGGTACATTTCCCAAATGTATGTTTGTTGGTATATTTGTTTTCTTTGTTATTATTATGTATTTGGTCTTTTTTATATTCATTTGTAGTCCATATTTTCACAGAATTTGTTTTGTTTAGCAGTAATTCGAGTTGTTCAGCAGAGCTTGTCATAATCACCGTGTCATCTGCATATCTTATGTTGTTAATAGAACTTCCGTTAATTATTATTCTTTCATTTTGAGATAGTAATGCTTCTTCAAAAATGGCTTCACTATATACATTAAATAATAATGGGGACATAATACATCCCTGTCTAACTCCTCTCCTGATTTTAATTTCTGAACTGGGTTCGTTATCTATTACGATTTGTGATCTTTGATTCCAGTAGAGGTTTGTTATTATTCGTAAGTCCCTGTGGTCTATGTTTTTTTGTGTTTAGAATTTGGACTAATGTTTCATGTCTTACTTTGTCAAATACTTTTTCAAAATCAACGTTACAACATGCAATAAACATTCATATCCATTAATCTTTGAGCTAACACATTAAAAGCAAATAACGCTTCTCTGGTTCCTAGTCCGTTTCTGAACCCAAATTGACTATCATCTATTCCTTCTTCTAGTTTTTTATTTATACGACCATGTATTATTTTCAGGAATAATTTAAAAATGTGACTTATTAGTGATATTGTTCTATATTCACTGCAATATTTAGCGTTTGTATTTTTAGAGATAGCACAAAAGGTGGAGAGTAACCATTGTTTCGGTATGTGTCCTGTTTTGTATACTGAGTTAAATAAGTCTACTATAATATCTAAGGTTTCATCATTCATGCATTTTAAGATTTCTATAGGGATTTCGTCTGGACCTAATGCTTTACCAGTTTTGCTGTTTTTTAACGCCATTCTAATTTCCTCTTTTAATATTGTACAAATGTATACTATAAAAGACACTTGTACATAGTTGTTTAGTTAGGTGCTGGTATTATTTTTAATATGTAAATAAGTTTTATGTAAATTTATCAATTAATATAAATATGTATATGGTGTGTGTATGCAATCAAATTACGGTACCTGTGATGTTGATCTACGTCTGCTTCTTCCACAGTGCACTGGGACAACTCAGGATTCGGGGTGGCTTCAAGGACTCTTGTTTACACAAATAATACTGTGACTGTTTAGCGCGCCGATTTATACAAGACTCTGTTCAAAATTGATTTGTGTGTAGCCTCGTAGCTTCGCATACCCTTACTTAAGTATAGTAGGGGTAGACTGTCCAGGGCCGTATTAATTTACGATTGTAAGACATACACACACGTTAATAAAATAATTAAATATAAAATAAAATAATACGAAATACTTAATAAAAATAAGAATATGTGTGGAGGGACGTAACATTCCCACCCACCAAAATGCATATTTGCATTTTTAGTCAATATAAGGCAGAGGGCATAGCTTCACCAAAGGTCGCCTAAGTTCACCTTTCGCGGTTTGTACGATAGCTACGCGAGCAATACCATCTTGACCGAAAATTAAAGTTTTAATTCGACCCATTTGCCATTGTAAGGGAGGCTTGGTCTCATTACGTATTAGTACAAGAGTACCTATATTAGGATTACCCTCATTTTTATGCCACTTTGTGCGTTGATGAAGAGTATGTAAATATTCTCTGCTCCATCTTCGCCAAAAGTCTGCATGTAATCGTTGCAGCAATTGCCAACGACTTAGCCTATTTAAATGAACATCACTGTAATCTCGATCGGGAATTATCTTTAAAGGCTCTAGTGTAAGAAAATGTCCAGGTGTTAACACTGAAAAATCATTTGGATCATTACTGACAGGACATAAGGGACGACTATTTAAGACAGCCTCTATTTGTATGAGTAATGTATTGAATTCTTCATAGGTTAAAACCTGTTCACCTATGACTCTAGACAGATGTGTTTTTACGCTTTTTATACCCGCTTCAAACAATCCACCAAAATGGGAAGCTGCAGGGGGATTTAAATGCCATGTAATGACGTCGTTTTTATCAAAATGTGACTTGATGTCTTCTAAATAGGATTTTGCGCCTACAAAATTTGTTCCGCAATCAGAATAGACAACAGAGCAACGTCCTCGACGTGCTATAAAACGTCTGAATGAGGCTAAAAATGCCTCGGTACTAAGTTCAGATACTAATTCTAAGTGCAAAGCCTTAGTGGCAAAGCATACAAATAGGCAAATATAGGCTTTCGTTCGTTTGGCATTTTTAAGCTTATTGGCTCTTATCAGAAAAGGACCGCCAAAATCGACGCCTACGCAAGAAAATGGTTTGACCTTGGATATCCGTACGTCGGGAAGAGCCCCCATAGGTGGCTGATAATTTTGAGGTTTTAGTCTCCAACAGGAAAGACATTTTGAAAGAACACTACGAATAACACGTTTGGATGAAATTATCCAAAAGTTTTGTGACAAGGCGAAGTGTGTACCTTGAATGCCTGCATGTAGATGCACAATATGAACTTCTGAAATAAGTAATTTGATAAAATTACCTTTGGAAGGTAAAAGAAGAGGAAAGCGCTTGTCATACGCTAATTCTGACTGGCTAAGTCTTCCACCCACTCTTAGAAGATCATGTGAATCAAAGAAGGGATTTAATTTTTTCAAATATTTGAATTTTACAGTATTACCCTTTACTTGTTCTATTTCCTCCTTAAGATACCTTTGTTGCACTAATCTAATTAGTTGATTAGTGGCATTACTTTGTTCCTGAATGGAAAGCCTTCCAACTGTTCGTTGATTTGCTGATTTTAGGTTACCAACGAATCTAAGAACATAGGAAAAGATACGTTTTAATTTTGAAAAGGAAGAAAATCGATTACAGAGATCATCGACAAATTCGTCAGATGGAAAAGACAAAAGACAACTCTTCTGTTTTAATTCTAAGTTGTGTTCGATAGAATCGGTCAAGGAGAATGACCAGTTATCTTCAGTAGTGCGAAGAAACTCCGGACCCACCCACCAAGCAGGAGTATTTAAGAAATCCTCAGGGAAAAGTCCACGAGATCCGTGATCCGCACTATTTAATGAAGAAGGAATATATCGCCAGTGTTTTGAAGCAACCCTGTCTTGAATATAAGAAATTCTATTACTGACAAAGGTTTTCCATTTATAGGGCTGTGAATTAATCCAATGGAGAACGACAGTCGAATCTGACCATGCGTAAATTCTACTAAACGATATAGTGAGAGTCTGCAGTATATAAGATAATAATTTACTAAGAATTACTGCTGCATTGAGCTCAAGACGAGGAATAGTTTGAACCCTGGTAGGAGATACCTTTGTTCGGGCTAAAAGGAAATAAGTTTTGATGACTCCTGTATCATAACAAACACGAAGGTATGTAACAGCAGAAGATCCACGTAAAGAAGCGTCGCAAAATCCATGAAGCTCACAGGAAATAATTCCATTTAAAGAAATATGACGAGGTATAGAAAACTTAGACAGTATAGGCAGTTCAATTTTAAATTGTTCCCACTTTGAAGTAATTTCCAAAGGTGGTATTGCATCCCAATCTAAATTAAGTAGCCAAAGACGTTGAATAATAGTTTTCACTATCAAAGTGACAGGATTGAGAATACCGTAAGGATCGAATATGCGAGCTATTTGACTTAAGAGATTTCGCTTTGTGCAGGAAGCTTGGAGAGGTAAAATTTTATAAAAGAAATCATCAGATGATGGATTCCATCCAAGTCCTAATACCTTCAACGAAGATTGATCTAAGTCAAATGAAAAAGACTGTTGCA